TTTCAGATCCTTAAATGTGCCTGCCTTGCTTTTTCTCTCCCTCTGGCTTTCATATATGCTATTCCCTCTGCCAGAAACACTATTCCCCTTCCTGTTCATGTGGTCCACTTCTATGAGTTATTCTTCCAGGCAAACTTTTATCACTCTCCCAGACTAGTCTAAAAGCCCTAGTTGTATCCTCCCAGCACATGGTCCCACCTCTTCTCATTGCACTTAGCACAGTATTCTAATGACCTGTTTCTCTGTCTCCCCACGAGAGTGTATAATCTAGGGAGACAAAGACCACATCCTGTTCCCAGTATAGCATTAATATCTTACACATTTATTATTGCTGAATAAATCAATGTGTTTACTTGGGTTTATCTACTTAAACTGATAGAACAATAGTTAAATATCTTTGGGCAGGTGGCGGTGGCTCACACCTATAATCCTAGCACTCTGAGAGGCCAGGGTGGGGGGATTGCTTGAGCTCAGGAGTTCGAGACCAGCCTGAGCAAGAGTGAGACCCGTCTCTACTACAAATAAAAAGAAATTAGCCAAACAACTAAAAATAGAAAAAAATTAGCCAGGCATGGTGGCACGTGCCTGTAGTCCCAGCTACTCAGGAGCCTGAGGCAGGAGGACCACTTGACCCCAGGAGTTTGAGGTTGCTGTGCACTAGGCTGACACCACTCTAGCCTGGGCAACACAGCGAAACTCTGTCTCAAAAAAATAAATAAATAAAATAAAATTTTATATATATATAAAAAATCTTTAGACAATTACCTCACCCCAGCTTTAGAAATGGGGCAATGCAGGTAGAAGTAAACTTGCAGTTAACTCTACATTAGTTAGACGGGACTGCCACCTACTGGCGATATAGTAGTACTGCACAGACCAAACCCTACAGAATAACAAAATTTTTTTTATTTTTACTTTTTTTATTTTTTACATTTAAAAATATATATATAATATTGCCTGTTATCCCTGGGCAGGGGCCATGATAATCTTCTCTGTATCGTTCCAATTTTAGTATATGTGCTGCCAAAGCGAGCACAGGATAACTACAAATATTACAGAGCTAACGCTCTCTACTTTAGGATAACAGTATTGATTGTAGTTTTGACAGGTAACTGTATGTTACAAAGCCTATAAAAATAGCATTTCGATAAAACTTATTTCTGTTGGAAACAAAATTCTCAGGATAAAATGCATTTTGCAAACATAAATACTGTACAAACTCTTGTGCTCTTCAAAAGCTAACGAAACCAGACATAATTTAAATCTACAATGTTAAAGCGATTAAGCCCCACGCTCCACGGCGCAACTGAAGGTGAGAAATATCAGGCTTTGTTTTATGATACAGGAGAAAGAGAAATTTCCTCGGCTTCATTGCCTGCCCAGAGGGAAACAGACGACCTTCAGTCATTCCCAGCCGGGTGAAAACCTGCTATGCGACACAGTTCCTCGCCTATCTCTCGCACCTCTGCAGCAGTTTTGTGTCTGTGTGATTCCTGCACTGTCTGTAGTTCCACTAGACTGTGAGCTTCCTAAGGACGAGGGCTGTCTCTGCCCTCCAGTGTAGCCCGGCCTGGCACCCAGGCGCCCAGTGCGCTCCGTGGACCGCCCCGCAGAGTTAACTGGTCCCGGGCCCCGCTCAGCGGTCTTCGCGCCACAGCCACGGCCACGGCCAGCCACGCCGCCCTTCCCTCGGCTCCGGGCCCGACCCTGAGGCCTTCGACTGCGAAGGGGCGGCTTCTGAGGCTAGAGCCACCCCGCGGTGGGAGGGTTCCGACTGTATTTTTATTAGGGGCCGGCCGGAGAGAGGACACGAACGACTGAAAAGACGGAGAGAGTGCGCGGGGACCGGAAGCGCGCTCGGCCGGGCTACAGGCGCAGTCCCTCCTCCTTCCGCCGCGCGCGCTCCGCGCCCCTCCCCCACCGCCGCCGAACGCGCGCGACCCCCACCCGGCGCGTGACCCAACGCGGCGTCCCCGCCCGCGCCGCGTCCCCGCGCCCTCCTCTGCCGGGGCCACGGGGCACGTCCCACCCCCGCCCCCCACTTACCTGTGGCTGCCGCCTCGCCGCTGTCCGGGGCGGGAACTTCCACTCCCCCCTCCCAGGTGGATCCGAATTCACTACCCACTTCCCCACCCCCTCACACGGCGGGGGACGTCCCTCCTTCTTGGGGGTCAGGAGGGGCGGGGAGAATAAGTGTCACTTAACAGCCAACTGTCCTAGGCTACCGTTCCCTCGGCAGTCAGGGCCACCAGTGGCGGCATGATCACCAGGCCGGGGGCGGGGGAGGGGAGGGGGGCAAAACTGAGTGTAAGTGTGCGTGGGGGGTGAAGTTAAGGCGGTGCCGCCGCGCGGGCTGCCGTCCTGCGTCACCGCGTTACTCACGTGACGCGCCGCCATCTTGCACCGGGTCTCCTCCGCGGGGCGAGGTGTGTCTCCGGAGGTGTTGCTCGGGCGGGAGTTGGAGGTGGAAGCTGCCTGCGGTTCCTTTACGCTTGGGATCTCTCCCCACTCCTACACGTCTGTTTCCGGACGCCCGCTCCAGCTGGGTGCTCCCAGGAAGCCGTTGGGTGGGAGGCAGTTTTCATCGGTTAAGGGCGTCGCGCTGAGCTCGGCCTCTGCTGCTGGGGCTGGGTGATCAGGCCCAGAGCTGCCGCCCTTGGCCTTGACCGACGCCTGCCCTGTCCGCTTCTTGGAGGGAGAAGTGACTTGAAACGTAGAGGCTGGTCTTCCTCGCCTTCTCTGGGTTCAGATTATTCTTAATCCCATAAAATAGCGTAGAGTTGATCCTTTAACCCATACGAAAGGATTTTCTACAAAAAGGGATTTAAAATAAAAAAGGTGTCAGTAGGGTGTTTGACCTTCACTTGGTGTGGCATGCTGGGGCACAGATTTCTTTCAACTGTTTAGAAAGAGTTACGTACAGTGCAGTGTCACAGAATAAAATGTTATGCCATCGTCTTAATACATTCCAAGAACTTTAAAAGTATTTTCTAATATATCTGTTTCTGGAAATGGGATTGTGCTTACTAATGTTTTTTATTATCCGTTTCCTTGCAAAATGTTCTTTTATGGTTTTAGTGGTTGTAAACGACAAATAGTAAACTTTAATATACTCTTAAAAGTTCCAAAATTTTACTAGAGAGCCCCAATGCAGTAAACTGATTTAGTGGTAAAAGCTCTTCCTGTTTTTGACCCTTAGGCCAGAAAATGTGATTTAAAGCTAACGAGTTACTCTGGCTGACACTCTTAAGAAGATCACTAATATTTAGCCATTTTCACTCATTGAGTAAACATTGTTGCCTACCTATTAAAAGGTAATACAGTGGGAGGCCGAGGCGGGCTGATTGCTCAAGGTCAGGAGTTTGAAACCAGCCTGAGCGAGACCCCGTCTCTACCAAAAATAGAAAGAAATTAATTGACCAACTAAAAATATATATGCAAAAAAAAAATTAGCCGGGCATGGTGGCGCATGCCTGTAGTCCCAGCTACTCGGGAGGCTGAGGCAGTAGGATCACTGAGCCCCGGAGATTGAGGTTGCTGTGAGCCAGGCTGACGCCACGGCACTCACTCTAGCCTGGGCAACAAAGTGAGACTCTGTCTCAAAAAAAAAAAAAAAAAAAAGGTAATACAGGTGACTTACTCTTATTTTGCTTATTTAGGAGTATTAGGTTTTTAATTAGGCAACCCAGCCTTTCTGAGTTTGTCTTCTCAATATCAAAATTAGAGAAATTATTAATACTACTAAGTACATGTCCCAAAATTACTGGAAGAAAATATCATACGTTATATACAGGTATATGTCCTGCACAGGTAAGGGCAGCGAAGAGGTTCTCAGACATTAGCCTTTTCTCATTAACCAAGTCCAACCTCAATCATTCTAGAACACAGAATGCTTTGTCAGTAGAAAGCTGGAGGAGGGGGTGGGTGGGCAGAGAACCGGACACTAATCTTACCATGAAAAAAACTGAAATTTTATTGAAAAATGAAACCTTCAAAATGTGCATGATTAACTTCTTTAGTTCCTCTTCCAGTTGTAAAGCATCTTTTTTTTTTTTTTGGAGACAGTTGAGACCTGGCTCTGTTGCCCCAAAGTAGAGTGCAGTGGCATCATCATAGCTCACTGCAATCAAACTCCTGGGCTCCAGCAATCCTGCCTCAGACTCCCAAGTAGCTGGGGACTACAGGCGTGCACTAATTTTTTTTTTTTTTTTCTATTGTTAGTAGAGACAGGGTCTTGCTCTTGGTCAGGCTGGTCTTGAACTCCTGGCCTCAAGCAATCCTCCCTTCTCACCCTCCCAAAGTGCTAGGATTACAGGCTTGAGCCAACACACCTGGCTAATACATATAAAATTAGAGCTGTGCCTGGCACGGAGTAAGCACTAAATAAATGTTGGAAGTTAATATGGAAGGTACTGCAGTGTAACTACTGGAAACTTAGCAAACAATCACTAAGTGGCTACACATTCAGAGATGCCTTGGGTTAACAGAGGGACTGAGCTGGAATGGAAGACTTACGAGGTGTGAGACAGTGTCTGAAACATCCCACCTCTCGAAAGACAAATTTTTTAAACTAATAGATGTAGGCTTTGTGGCCTACAAAATGGAATTGTTTTTGTTTGTCTGTCAATACTCAGGTCTAAACACATAGGAAAACCTATCTAGACATCCTAAATCCCTGTAGGTACTGTATTGTACACCCATACAATTTCAGGTACACTGCTGAAGCAGGAATGACCCAGATAACTTTGAGACCGCAGTTGCCTCATGTTATCTAAGTTTGAGTTGAATCCATAGAAGTCTGTGAAAGCCCTTGGGGTCATGGACTACTACAGGGCTGTCCTTCCCTCCCTCCCCCCCCCTTTTTTTTAAAGGGGAAGTATCAGATTAATTTTATTGCTGACTCTGAACACATTAGCTATTTAACCTATGTTATGTTAATTCTAATACTAAGGAAATCCATCATTTGTTTTGTTCAAAAGTCAAAATTTTAGTAACCAAAACACATTTTCAATAAAATTTTATACATATATGTAAATAAACAATAAAACAGCACCAAGGACCTCTGTAAAATTCCATCATACAGTTTCTATGCTGGCTGCTTCACCAATAAATGGCACTTGATTTGTTTTAAATGCATGTGATTGCAGAAAACTGTTCAAATTATTCATTAAACACTGGATGTGATTTTCCATGGATGTTTCAGACATTCAAATCAATACAATTATATTCTGAATATCAACTTGAGTTGCACAGGCTAAGATGAGGACCCTTCATATAATTTTGAAGATGTGATACAATCTGTACTTAAATTGGCATTGCATTTCTTCAGATTTAGGCTGCTTTCATCAGAAATATCTTCTATCCCTGTGAGATCAGCTACATCAAGATGGCTCATCAGCTAAATCATGCTGGTCAAAATACCTGCTAACCAAGCAGATCAATAAATTCAAAGCAGGAACCCTGTCATCATCTTTGCTATCCACTAAGAGCCTCACTTCAGAACACCTTGCAAGCTGCCGGATCAGTGAATGAGCCTCAGGTAATAAAGGTTTTTCAAGACAAGCCAACAAAGCTTAAAGCCATCTTCCCTGATTCATTCTGCTAACAATACTAAGCAAGGGAGGAAAACCAATTTGTACATAATCGATTCCAGGACTTTCATATGTAGCTGGTCCAATTGCCCCTTCAGCACATAATCTTTCACCCAGACAAAATTTTTTCCAGCGTTCTTCATCTTCGGATTTTGGCATAGTCACATTACTATCCAAATTGCTGTGATTTCCAGTGACTTCTATGTTTGTTCACACTTTGTCGAACAGTTGAAAACTGTGCTACTTGTTACTGCCACTGAAATGTTGGGGAATAACCTTCAGGGGCAGGTTGGCATCCTGAAAGAGAAATATTGACACTTTGCTTCCTTTTCAACTTCTTTGGGTCAATTTGAGCTACTACAACATCTGGACATTGAGCTGCTTCAATCTGGACCCGCCTCAGGTATTCCTGAGGTGTCCTCAGAGGTACTGAGGGATAGAAAGCTTCCGTCAAGTCGCAGGGTTCCACCGGCAGCAGCCGGGGCATCAACTCTTCCACTGCAGACTCTGCTGGTACCCACGCCATGCTTTTTCAATACGGCCAGTCCCCTCCCTCCCCCTTTTTACAGGAACTTCTCAGTCATCCATATCTTACTAACAGTGGACACCTGACCCAGGCTGGGCCATCAGAATCTCCCCATGGAAATTTGGCTTGGAACAAAAATGAATTTCTGTTTAAGTGAATGGACCTAAAGGTTAGGAGCTTTCTAGTGAGCATCTTCTACCTGCAAACAATACAGATGCAAACAACCCAGTGTTTCTAGGCCCCAGTTTTATAATCTACCTGTGACAGGTGCCTGTCATAATCCATAGATTCTATGAGGACCCTTTGTCCTTGTAATGAATAGCCCTTTCCTATTTAAACTAGCTTACTTTGGTTGCTGTTATTTCCAAAGTCACAGCTAATACACCTAGATATAGGAGAAATGATTTCTTTGTGGCCTTCCTCTTCTCTCTGCTCCACCACCAGCTTAGTCCAAGCCATCATTTCTTGCATTGTATTCTGCAGTAACCTCCTAGCTGGTTCTACTAGTAAAACCCTATAGTGGAATAGTACTGGTTATTGTTACATTAGTTGGATTGCATAAGCAAATAAATTACCTTCAAGATTATAATTAAAGTTGTAGCAGGACAGCTTGGAATGGATATTACTGGAGGAATCTATGTTGATCAGAGCAACCACAAATATCAAGCACCTGTAAGCCCCCAGGTAGTGATACTGACTGAGGCTCAGAAGACAGGAAAGTCAAATCCTTACCCAGAAAAAGCAAATCTAGCCACATGAGAACAAATCACTGGCCCTTCTAGGATGAAAGAAGCCCAGTGTTGTCAACTTGCTATCAAGCAGCCAACTAGTCTGGAGAAAGAGTGCAATGTTAGGATATTAGTATTGGTCTCTACCAATGCATAGTTGAAGATTCAGAGACAGTAGTTGTTAAATTGGCCTTGGTAAGTTGGGAGTCCATGCTGCTGGGCCATTGCATAGCCTCCATTTCTGCCACTTGGCCAGTCCATTCGTGTGTTCCTTGTGCCAGTTCCAAAATGGTCAATAGCTGGCTGACATAACCAGCCAAGTCATTTTGTCTACTTGGTTTCTTCGATGGTGGGTGCAGTTCAGTGGGCGTTGACATGTGAGGCAAAGATCTTCACACTTTGTGCTCTCTCCCCATATTCATGCATGTACCTCTACTCCAGACTTTGTTATATCCAATCCTCCAGCCTTTTTCCTTCTAAGATTCTGACCATCCAGCTCTTTGCCTCTGTCCATGAGTCCATATATAGTCTCACTTTGAGCCCCTTCTCCTTTCACACAAAGTGGGCAGTCACTTTACTCTCTACCAATTGGGAAGATTTCCTTTGACACTGCCAACAGAGTCACCTGAGAATGGCTCTGTTTCAGTTGCCATCAGTTTTTGGCTTGCACTCACATACTGAGATGACCAACCTATAAACCAAACTTGGGCTCTTTCTGCCTGCTACAGCTGGACCCTCCCCCATCTTCCAATATGGCCACAGGTATGAGTTGAGTGAAAGACGCTGTTGGAACTGTAGTGGGTAACATGGGTTTCTGGGTTGCCTGCCTGTGCAGCTTACTTGCACACTCTGATCCTGCTTGGGCTTGCTCTCAGGTATCACATTTCCATATATTTTTTTCCATAGCCAAATATGAAGCATGTGATAACATTTCCATCTTATGATGATGAGTGGGTGCCGGGCCCATCTGACTCTATGATGCAGTGTGTCTGACAGAATCTAGCTAATGATGGAAAGTTACAGAGGCATAGTCACTTGGCATGCCCTGGTCAAGTTTCCCTTCCTCCATGGCCCAGTAGCACACCAGAAGCTGTTCTGAAAAGGTATATGATTCTCTCCTACAGCTGGCATGTTCTTCCTCCAGCATCCCAAGTGTTTGTGTTGTGATCGTCCCATTGGGTTTTGCCACAAACTTAACACTGTTTCTTTTCTCACCAGTGTCATCTCTACCACCCTGGGATCTGCCAGGTCACATGGCTCCAAATCTTAAAGTTGTCACCTGGTATATGAGCCACCGCAGTATTAGATGGAATGTGTTATCTCCAGAACCTGAAGAGGCTTCCCAGGGATTGCGCTTTCTTCTTTGAGTAAGGGGATGCAAGATGCAGCAATTTTTTCTAATATTTTAGAGGATATCCCAACATGCCCCTGATCACTGGACCTCTGAATTTTTTTTTTTTTTTTTTTTTTTTTTTGAGACAGAGTCTCACTTTGTTGCCCGGGCTAGAGTGCCGTGGCATCAGCCTAGCTCACTGCAACCTCAAACTCCTGGGCTCAAGCGATCCTCCTGCCTCAGCCTCCCAAAGAGCTGGGACTATAGGCATGCACCACCATGCCCGGCTCATTTTTTCTATATATTTTTAGTTGGCCAATTAATTTCTTTCTATTTTTTTAGTAGAGACAGGGTCTCATTCTTGCTCAGGTTGGTCTCGAAGTCCTGCCCTTGAGCAATCCTCTTACCTCAGCCTCCCAGAGTGCTAGGATTACAGGCGTGAGCCACTGCACCCAGCCTGGACCTCTGAATCTTTAGAGTTTATTTCCCACCCTCTGGATTGCATGTGACCTACCAAGGCCCTCAGTGTACTAGCCACTATTTATTGCCCTGTCTGATCAAATTGATATCATGTAATGTGATTGGGGAAAACTATAAATGTATATTCTTGTCTGTTCCATGTTAATGTGAACTATTTCTGATTCTTGATTAGGATAGAAAAGGACACATTTGTCAAATCAATGGCTACATACCACATACTTGAGACCACGTTAATCTGATCTGGCAAAAATATCAGATTAGGTACAGGAGCTACAATTGGGCTGCTATTTGGCTGAGCTTACAGTAGTGTACTGTTGTCTGCCAGGATCCAGGAGTTTCTACAGGGATCAGACAGTTAAACAGCTGTGATAGGAACCACCATCTTTGAATCCTGACATCCTTACAGCTGGCATTGATCTCCACTATTCCCCCTGGGATTGACCATTATTGTTATTGATTTATTATCATGGATGGGTGGGTTGGGGACCATTTTAGAGGTTTCCCCATTATACTAGCTCTTATTCTAGAGGCCAAAGGCCCAACTGCTAGGTATGTCAATTCTAATTATAAATTTAGAGAAATGACTATTGAGTAGCTCCATAATTCAGGGGGCCAGCTTTGGCCAGGACTCCATTTATGATCTAGCTCCCATACTGCCTTTATTCTAACAAGAGAGCCATGATGGCATGTCAACCAGATGTCTATCCAATAGTCTTGAATTGTCCCTTTTCTCCAGTAGACAGTCTTCTTCTTTAGGAAAGGACTGGAAGAACCATTATAGTGTATAATTGACGAGTTTCTTTGGGGTTCTTGACCCTGGAGAAATGACCACCTCTTCAGTTAACTGGCTCCAGGTCTGAAAACTTGCTCAGGTTCAGGAACTGGGCGAGAAATTATGACATTTTGGGGGACAACTGTCCTTAGCCTCCTGGTCATCTATTCTTGCTTTCTTTTATTAGAAATTTGATGACTAAAGAAATTATTAAATTATTATTACTGTTTAAGCATTATCCTGTTAGCTGCCTGTCTATTTTCCCCTAGGGATGATATGTTTGAATAACTGTCTTCACTACTCTCTGCATGTCAAGTTCCTTTGGCTGTCATTCCAATGTTGTCAATCATTACAATAATTGTGACCACCCCTCCTTCCCCCAGCCATCTTGTAGTTGCACTGCCACCTGACCTCTTTTACTTCAGGGCCTAATAATCCAAATTGTTGCCAAGGATAAAAAGGAGAGTTAACACAGCGTTAGCTTTCTTGATGTGCTATTTGATTTGATGCACAGAACTTTTTCATTTTGATGAAGTACAGTTTATCTATTTTTTTCTTTGTGCTTTAGGTGTTATTATAAGAAACTGTTGCTTCATCCAAGGTCACAAAGATTTACTCCTATGTTGTTCTAAAAGTTTTATAGTTTTTGCTCTTCCATTTAGGTATGTGATCCATATTGAGTTAATTTTGTTTATGGTGTGAGGTAGGGGTCCAAAATCATTCTTTTGCCTTTGAATATACAATTGTTCCAGTAACAATTTGTTGGAAAGATTATACTTATCCTTTTGATGTGGTCTTGGCACTCCTGTCAATTGACCATAGATGCATAGGCTTATTTCTGGACTCACAATTCTAGTCCACTGATTGATAGGTCTGTTTTTATACCAGTACTACACTGTCTTCATTATTGAAAATTTTGTAGGAGGTTTTGAAATATGGAAGTGTGAGTACTCCAACTCTGGTCTTCTTTTTCAAGGTTGTTTTGACTGTTCTGAGTCTTGCATTTCCATATGAATTTTAGAATCAACCCATCCATTTCTGCAAAATAGACAACTGGAATTTTGACAGGGATTGTAGTGAAACTATGGATCAATTTGGGGAGTATTGCCATCTTAACATTATTAATAAATCTTCCAACCCATGAATATTGGATACGTTTTCTTTTATTTAGGTCATTTAATTTTAACAGTGTTTTATAATTTTCAGTGTACAAGTTTGTGCTTTGATTACATATATAAGTAAAGATGCTCCTCAACTTATTATAGGGTTACATCCTGATAGACCCACTGTTAGTTGAAAATATCATAAAGTGAAAATGCATTTAATACAACTAATCTGCCGAATATCATAGCTTAGCCTAGTTTACCCGAAATGTGCTCAGAACACGTACATTAGCCTTACAGTTGGGTAAAATCATCTAACACAAAGCCTACTATTTTTTCTTTTTGAAATTGAGAAAAATCTATTTTATGATAAAGTGTTGACTATCTTATTTAATTTATTGAATACTGAACTGAAAGTGACAAACAGAACGGTCGTATGGGTACTAAAAGTATGGTTCTTGTAGCAGTCTTACCTCGCTAAACAAAACAAAAAAAAAATAAATAAATAAAAGTATGGTTCCCACTGAATGTGTATCACTTTCACATCATTGCAAAATTGAAAAATTATAAGTTGAACTGCTATTAAGTTGGGGACTGTCCCATATTTTATTCTTTTTTTTTGAGACAGAGTCTCACTTTGTTGCCCAGGCTAGAGTGAGTGCCGTGGCGCCAGCCTAGCTCACAGCAACCTCAAACTGCTGGGCTCAAGCAATCCTCCCGCCTCAGCCTCCCTAGTTGCTGGGACTACAGGCATGGGCCACCATGCCTGGCTAATTTTTTCTATATATTTTAGTTGGCCAATTAATTTTCTTTCTATTTTTAGAGGACACGGGGTCTTGCTCTTGCTTAGGCTGGTTTCAAACTTCTGACCTTGAGCAATCCACCAGCCTTGACCTCCCAGAGTGCTAGGATTACAGCACTCTGGGAGGTTGTGCCACCTTTCCCTTAGCCACCGCACCCAGCCTAATTCTTTTCTACTTATTAATTTCTGCATTTCTCTTCACTATTTCCTTCTTAATGCTTTCCCAGATGATGTTCTTTTTTCTTTTCCTAGATTCTGAATTTGAATACAACTTATTTTCAGTTTGTTCTTTAATGCATGTATGTGCTGTAAAATTCCCTCGTATATATACTTCTTTAGAAACTCCCATTATTTGCACAGCATGTTACATTTTGTCAAGTCTATCTGACAATAGAAATTGAAAATTATAGAAATGATCTGAGAAACAAGTGTTCATCTTTGTTGACAAGGAATAGAGAGATTCAGAGAAGTGAATGAGGCCAGCAGGTGCACTTCTAGCAACTTCTTACTGTCAGGATCTTGCCTGTACTCAGTGTTATTTGGGGGACAAAAAGTGCTTCTTCCCCTCAGAGATTAATCCTCTCACCTGCTCTCTGGAGTCCTTCCCCTCCTGCTTCCTCAGTGACTTAGCTCTGTCATTTATCCCTTACTGCTATATTTGGAAACTTTCCCTCTATTGTGGCTCTTTCTCTTGACACAGGAATAATTTATTTCTTCCATCTTTAAAACAGCCTCCCTCAATCTAAGGCTAGGAACTCCAAGATCAATTCTACATCCCTCTTTTAACTGCCATCCCAAATCTTTCCTTCCTAGTTGCAGACAAAGCCTCTGGAAAGAGTAGTCTGTGCTCAGTCTCGCCTCCCATCGCTCCTCTCCTGAACCAGCGTCCTGGCCTCTGCCCCTGTAGCCACACCAACACTCTCTCATCAAGACCACCAGTGCTGTCTCGCTGCCAGCCACAGCAGACACTGCCAGCCGCCATTTTACTAGCTTCATCGTAGCCTTCCCCACCACTGACCGCTCCCTTCCTCCTCCGTGAAACTCCCTGCAGCTGCTGTGCAGAGGCTCTTTCTTGGTTTTGCCCTGACCTCTCCAGTCATCCCTTCTCCCTTTCGCAGGCTTCTTCTCTTGCTCCACCAACCTTCCTTTAGATGCTGTTGTTCCCCAGCGGTGTTTTCTCACGCTACACGCTCTTCCTTGGCAGTATCATCCACTTCCATGGCTTCAACTTCCACTCTTAAAATGATGTCTCGCAGATGTATAGTTCTAGGCCAGAGCTCTCCTGACGTAAAGACCTGAATATTCAGCAGTTTGTTGGGTCTCTTCACCAGGACAGACACAGCATTTTCTTTCCCAAGTCTGCTCCTCTTTGTTCCCTGTCTTGGTAAATGGCCCCCCATCCACCTAACCCCCCATGCCAGAAACCTAGGAGTTATTTTGGATTCCTCTTTCTTCCTTATCCTGAATATTAAGTGATTGAAATCTTTTTTTTTTTTTTTTGAGACAGAGTCTCACTCTGTTGCCCCCAGGCTAGAGTGAGTGCCGTGGCATCAGCCTAACTCACAGCAACCTCAAACTCCTGGGCTCAAGCAATCCTCCTGCCTCAGCCTCCCTAGTAGCTGGGACTACAGGCATGTGCCACCATGCCGGCTAATTTTTTGTATATATATTTTTAGTTGGTCAATTAATTTCTTTCTATTTTTAGTAGAGACGGGGTCTCGCTCAGGCTGGTTTTGAACTCCTGACCTCGAGCAATCCGCTTGCCTCGGCCTCCCAGAGTGCTAGGATTATAGGTGTGGGCCACCACGCCTGGCCTAGTGATTGAAATCTTTTTTTTTTTTTTTTTGAGACAGAGTCTCGCTTTGTTGTCCAGGCTAGAGTGAGTGCCATGGCGTCAGCCTAGCTCACAGCAACCTCAAACTCCTGGGCTCGAGCGATCCTTCTGCCTCAGCCTCC